CAAAATGTCGGAAAATGTTAAATCCATTATATATATATATATATATATATAATATATATATATATATATATATATATATATGTTGTGAGAATATAACATACCTACAACATGGACTCTTCCAGGACTATATAAAAAAGGAAAAATATAACACTCAGGGAAAGGAGGAAAGAGAAGAGAGAGACAAACAGACAGAGAGAGAGAGACAAACAAACAGAGATTTTTTTATATTCTAATACCGTAGTATCAGCCGCCTACGACTACCAATATTGGACACTAAAACATAGTAAGCTCGCTTACACTTACACTATCTTTGTAACCTTTTTGTTTAATATATCTTTCTTACCTCTAATCTGTGTTTTCCTTCCGTGGTCCCAACTTTGGGCCCACATCAATATATATATGAGATAAAGAACCGATTGAGCAAAAATCCGCAGTCCGCAGCATTTACTTGTAAAAAAGGGCTCAATACAAAATAGTGCTAAATATTATTATAAAATCTTTATTATAATAAATTATTATTAAACATATTATACATCGTTACACAAAAACTTTCCTTTTTTCATTACTAAGATTGTACTTCGTCAAGCGATGGTAGACAACTTCTGATAAAAAGATTTCCCTAATAAATCAACTAAATTCATATATATATATATATATATATATATATATATATATATATATATATATATATATATATATATATGATTTTTTTCATAGGTACAAAATTTAATGATCGAAATAAATTTGTAAAATTTAATATTACAAGACATATTAAAACAATATTAAATAATTAAAAAAAAACTCAACAACAAAAGGGGAAGCAACCAGTTTCGCTCCGCTTTTTCAACTTCCACAGGAGATTCAATATTAAAAAGAGAAATGTACAATAAGAATAGGTGGAAAAAAAATATATGTATATATTTGTATATATGCAAGAAGGAACTAGAGGTAGATGACAGCGAGTCCCAGCAAACACTCACGGTGTTTGCACAAAGAAGGCTTGCGGGACCCGATGTAAAGCGCGTCCAGAACCTTCAGATGAAATACAGAGTGTGACCGGGCCAACACGGTGAACCAGTCGACACTAAATTTGGAAGCACAATCTCTGCTATTTAAAAGATGTTCGCATATGGCGGAACTGTAGGTGTTCGGGATGATATATATATATATAGTGCAATGGGTAAATAGTTGCCGTTTTACATTTTCAATTTCGCGCATGCGCTTTGATTATTTTTGATAGTGTCGACTACACCGTATAGTAGGATCAGTTGAGCACCGTCTCTGAGAAAAAGTGCACCATGATGCAAATTTGGAAAAGGCATGACGACACGAACATTACATAGTGTCTGTGTGTTAATCTGAGGACAGTGAAGAAGATTCGGAAAGAGATGGATGAGTCTATCGGTGATTACGAATGTGTTTCGAGTGACCACTAGTGATGGCAATGTTATGTCTCCCTTCATCCAGTCCACCGACTCAACATTTATTCCTTGTGGAAAATAATGCTCGCCTGGATAAAGTGGGCGGCTGATGGAAGACCCTGTCTCTAGCAACACGACACAGCGCCATACCACAGAAGCTGGAGCACCAAGTCATGTCTCTCAGTCTATTTCTTACCCTTTACATCTGGCAACCTATCTTCCCAGACTGCAACCTCTTTGATTATCATGTGCTTGGCGCAGTTGAACGAGAGACCAAGAAAACTCCTTGTAACACCAAAGATGAACTGAAATCAAGGAATATGGTAGCATTCATCAACTTAAACAAAGAGACCGCCCAGAAAAAATATAGGAGATTACAAAGTCGTCTGGAAGCCGTAGTTGAAGCCAATGGCGATTTTATTGAATAAATTTACTCTTCAGTAATTCAAGATATTTTTGTGTAATTTTGGTAAATATATATGTTAAAATGAAATCTCAGTTATTATTTTTCATTTTGCGAACTTTAGACGCCAATTTATCCATCGTAGCCTCTGTACATATATATATATATATATATATATATATATATATATATATATATATATATATATATATATATAAGTTATGAAGAATTTGGTAAACCGAATTGGTAAATCCAAGGAGGATGAAATCCTGAGAGCTCAATGTGAAGAACAGAGCTAATATTTAATATTTCATTGTTGGAAGTGTTACCTGATGATCCGAAATCCTTTAAAAAAGAATTTGGTGAAATAAATTATTGTAATGGTACCTTAAAGTGTCTGTTTTTCATATATATATATATATTATATATATATATATATATATATATATATATATATATATATATATATATATATGTGTGTGTGTGTGTGTGTTTGGAAAGGCATTTATGCGTCAATGTAAATATCCGCTCATTCCGATGGAAAATCACTGTAGTTGCTTACTTCTCATTCTGCGTTAAATAAAAACATGGCTTCTATTTACTTAAACGAAAATGACACCATCTCATCACACCCTTAGCCCTGAGATAAATGTACACCATCTGTTTTGCTGGCCGGGTTATAGCGTACTTTGTGCATACAAACCCAACACCCTCAAACGCTTCTCTGAAACTCTTGTTACTTGACAAAAGGAAACAGAAAAAAAGATGTCTACCCGCTTTCAACACGAACAGATTATACGAGCCTTAAGGGAGGACGGAGATTACAGGCCGGATAAATGTATAAATGTTTTATTATTTCAATGTGTTGCATATCTGTTTTATATATATATATATATATATACCCAAGTATAGGATTGTTATATATGGAATGAATTCCAATAACCAACAAATACTTTTCTTAAAAGAGTGCTCAATGCAAAGTAGAGCAGATATAATTATTTACTTAAAACAAATGTATAATATAAATATGTTATAAAATCACTAAAAATAGCCATTTTGTAGTGATTTTATTTATTTAATGATATAAATATTTTAAATAAATAATTATATATATATATATATATGTAACAGTATATATACTATATATATATATATATATATATATGTAGTATATATACTGTTACATGCCTGTTACTTATATACATGCTTATATTACTTCACTCTCTTACATGCCTTTTTAATATGTACATTTATGTTTTACTTCCTTCAGTTACATGCCTGTTACACAGACACACACATGCACACGCACACACACACATATATATATGCATTTTTTATATAGATTATTTATATATTATATATGCGCTGTACTTATTAGAAAGCGCTCAATATCATTGATAGAGTTTGCCTGACGATCGCAAATAGCGTGAAACACAGGGTCACAAATTCACATCAATTTAACTATTGTTTACTCGCTTACCTTTGTCTTACAAGATTTTGCATTGGAGCAATTTGTGCCCTACGGATGTTTTGAGTAAGCTCTCGATGTTCTCAAATTCAAACGCCTGGATAAACCAGTAACACCATTGCTTTTGTATATAAACACGTGCAACAAAACGAATCCTACATATGGCGTGGTATATCCCTCAGAGGACGAAACGCTTCGGCTCAGCATAGAAACATTTTTTTATTTATTCTTTTATATATATATATATATATATATATATATATATATATATATATATATATTATATTTCTTCTTCCTTCTATTACATGCCTGATTAAGTCACTAAAAAATCTGTATCAGCCCAAAACAAAGAAAAAGACAACAGGAAAAGTCGCAAATCAAGGAAAGTAATAAAACAGAAAAAGTATTTTAAATCAGCAAGAAATTGGCCAGAAACGACGTTTATGTTGATAGGTTTTATTTGTACCAAGCCAGACTCTAAATGGTCTTTGGAGACCCTTGATGTGCTATGAAAATGAGAACCCCTTTTATATATCTAGGTCTGAAATAGGTCTCATATCTGCTGTCGAATTAATTACAGCTTAATTAAACATTATCAACTCTCGTTCTGCCGAAAATGAATAATTGTCCACTTTTTATAGAGAATTGATTCTTTAAAGGTTTTACTTGATTTATTATTCAAATTTCAGTGTAATTGTTACTTATATTTTTTAAAACACCATTTACATATCAGAATTCATTTTTTATTTAATTTAACATATAATTGATTCATTTTGTCCTTAGAAGGTTACGTGTCCGCCCGTAATTTATTGTTACAACGAGTTAATATTGAAAAAATGAACAAAACTCTATAAATCCTAAAATGCACGACCGTTCTTCGTTTATAGGTCAATTATAGAACAGGAAATCAATCCGGGGTTATTTCGCGAAATAAAATCTTTGTTTAAGCACTTAATTTTGTATAAATTTTATTCGTATACAGTCTATGCCTTGTGTAAATTTTAGGCGTATAAGGTCTTAAATTAGTTTTCGCTACTTCGAAGTATTTTTTAGATATGAGAATTCGATAGTTAACCTTTCTATTAAAGGTCACAGAAGCAGTGATAATATTGTCGTGTTTCTTTTTTTTCTGTGAGTTTTCAGTGACTCTTTTCCCTGGTAATTTTATTTTGCTAGGATTCATTATACTTCCGCTATCGACATAAAATTTAAAGTTTTGAATTAATGACAAAAAAATGTCGAACATTTATAGCAGATCTTTGTCTCACGTCGTCATAGAACCGCATAGCACATTTCTATCTAAACATAACAGGACGCCATCTTTGATGGTGAACGTCTCTGATGTAATGTCTATATAACCACTCTGATAATGGCTCATGTGAGTCGAAAGCTTAGTTCGATGAACAGCATAATAAAAAATATCCAAACGTTGGGCAGTTTTTGTCTTTCTTTTCTCGCGAAACTAAAGCCATTATACGAAGCTTAGAACGGCTTATGATCAAGCATAATATACATTCCTGTCTGTTATATTTAACAATGAAGGTTTGAACATATATATATATATATATATATATATATATATATATATATATATATATATATATGGTGTTGCAGTAAAATCCGACCCTTGACAAAAAAGAAATAGGCAATAAAAACAAAAGGTGTATATGCAGATACCCGGCATTTTGACAATTAACGTTAACTAATTCTACCATTTTCCAGGATGGAATATGAGCACAGAGCAGTGGTAGTAGCTTCTTTTCGCGTCGGGAAGAAGCCTGCGGAAGTGATGGCCTGGTTTGGGTCCAAGTGAAATGCGTGTGCGAACAAGGACGAGTTTACTGCCAAACGAAAGGCCCACAACGTTCGTTTTTCGGCCGTTCGGAGAGACGAGTCCGTCGCCGCCGTCAAGGAGACAGTCGACAATGATGGAAGCCAGAGCTACGCCAAGATCGGCGCTGTCACAAGTCGACGATCTGCCGGACGAGCAAGAAGGACATTGGTTACTCCTCTTATCGCAAGTCTCAAAGCATGCTCATCACGAATGATTAAAGGAGTCGAGGAAGATCAATGCATCGGCTTTACTGAACGAGCTCAAGCACGGGTCTGCCGGGATGCTGATGTTTTTCCTCTGATGAAAAAATTTCATCCAGGACTAGACGAGCAACAGGAAGAACGACAGGTGAATCTGCAAAGATATCGAGGAGGTGCCCCTCGTGAAGCATACGAAGTTTCCCCTCTCCGTGATGGTACTTGACGTCATCTTCAGGATGTGCTGAGGAGCGTGGTGAAGCACTGGATGGTAGAGATCGCCGCCGGACGCCTCTACATCTTCGAAAAGTACTCCGCTCCTGCGCACAAGGCAAAGCGTGCCCAGTTGTGGCTGCTCAACAATGTTCCTCATCACTGGTCGCCGGACTTGTGGCCTTCTTCTTCACCCGACTTCAAACCGCTTGACTATTTCTACTGAGGCGTGATCGAGGCCAAGACTAAAAATCACGCCCACAAGACGGTCGAATCTCTGAAGGCTGTCATCCTGCAGGCGTTCGCCGCTATGGACAAGGAAATGGTCGCCAAAGCGTGACTCATTTTGCGCCCGGCTTGAAATCGTCGACGCCACCGGTTACATTAAAAAAATAATGTAGTATTTAACTTTAGCTGTTGCTAAATAAAGTGTCGGGTCTCCGCATATAACATTTTTGTTTTTATTGCCTATTTCGTTTTCATTTTGTCAAGTGTCAGATTTTGCTGTAACACCATATATATATATATATATATATATATATATATATATATATATACACAGGCACACACATTGTGTGTATATATATATATATATATATGTAGAAATATATTTCATATGTAGAAATATATTCCAATGGCGTCTTGCATAAAACTGTCTGTCGCCTCTGAGTGTTGACTTTAATGTTCAATTTTATATTTACACACGCTCTATCTCTGATATTGAGCACTTTATACCATAAATATAGCACACCTTAAAAATATATTTCGAATATATATATATATATATATATATATATATATATATATATATATATATATATATATATATATATATAAAATTATATCCATCAATTTTAATTTAATTTTTCGTTTCATTTGACTTTTGGAAGTGCTGATGATCTGGCGTCATTTAAAAGGGCTCTGGTGAAATAACTTATTATAATGGTACCTTAAAGTGAGCTGTTTTTCTTTAATATATATATATATATATATATATATATATAATGTGTATGTGCATGTATGTGTCTATATATATGCGTGTATGTGTGTTGGTATATGCGCGTGTGTGTCTGTGCGATTGCCGTTACTGAATATTTTAGACTAAGCAGAATATGAATGCAAATATAAAGAAATGATGCCGATAGTTTGAGAAGTAAACCAAGAAAACGGTATTAAAATTGAAAATATATTCTGCTAATCATGATTCGCCGAACTTCACGCGCTCTACCAAAAACAAATAGATAAAAATATTTATATATCTCACAGTTTACGTAGTAAGACTTCAATTTTCCACAGTCGCTATTATTGTCTATTTTTTTCTTAATGAATTTATTTTTATCTTATTCTATTTTTTCTTATTTTTCTTTCCCAATATAAACGCATTCGAAAGAAACAAGAAATAACTATGTACTGTTTCTCCATTTTAACGTCAGATATTTATTCAAAATCCACCGAGTTCAGTCGTAAAAGCCTATTACCGTGTTATATTAAAACATGGCGTCCGTTTGGCTTCCTCGCTGCGGCAGAAACTCCATTATTGGAAATATTCTGTTGTTTGCAAGGCTAAGAGATTGCCTCAATCGACAAAATACCTTTCTTTTTTTTTCCTCGTTTTGTCTCGTCCAAATATTTTTCTTTTACTGTAGTTATTGACTTGACCGTTTTTAGGCGTATATCTAAATATTTATTTATTTAAAAAATAAAAAAATAAAGCAATTGTTTATATTTTACTTTTTGTAAATTGATTCTACTTTTATTATTTTACTAAATATCTCTTCATGACTTCAACTGGTGTAGTTTGTTAAGGCTTCAATAATGTCTTTCTTGGTTTTTATTTTCCTTCACTTTAATGTGGGTTAGCATTTAATGTCTTTTGTATTCAATTTTCTTTACTAACTTCATTTTACATTTATTCCTTCCTCGTTCATTCATTTATTTATTTATTCTGGTTATTCGATCTGATTTTATATTTTATTTTCTCATATTTTACCATTTTCTGTTTTTGGAAAAGGTATGAATCCTTCTTCTTACCCACCGGCTATAGCTTGAATAGCAAGTTTTGTATAGGGAAAAATAATTTCTATTCTCAATTTGTTAATGCAATATTAACTCATATATATATATATATATATATATATATATATATATATGAAATGAGAAAGAATGAAATATAAATTATGACGTCCAGAACATTAATTCAAAATAGGGCTCAATACAATAGTAGAGCGATAATTATTTAATTATAGGATACATTATAGGATATATGTAAAATGTAAAATGGCTACATAAATGCCTTCATGTTTCGATGCATATCATCGCATCTCATCCAGCCGTGATAAATTTTAATATTTATTTACATACAATCTTTTACCCCGCGAAAATAAGAAAAAAATAAGAAAAGGAAACAAGGAAGAAAGACATATATATAGATTCATCAAAAAAAAAAAGAGGAAGAAAGATACAGGATATAGTCAAAAGAAAAAGAAAAAAAGATATTAAAAAAAGAAAAAAAAAAGAAAAATACGTATATATATATATATATATATATATATATATATATATAGTTTTAAAAATTAGGAATTTATTGATTTCAATGTTATTAGTCTCTAAGGCACTTTCAACTAACATCTCATCAGGAGACTATGAAATAGTCGATTAGAAAACTATTCATAGAAAGTATATTAAAAGAATAAAATTTTATTTTAAAATATACGTTTACTTCTAGTAATCTTTTTTCTTAATATCTTTTAAAAAATCATTATTGATTATTAAGTTGGTGAAATAATTTATTACCTTAAAAGGGTCTGATTTTATTTTATATATATATATATATATATATATATATATATATATATATATATATATTATATATATATATATATATTTACAGGACAGGAGGACGAATATTTTCTGTCGGAGGACGAATATTTTCTGTGATAATTATTCGGACATTCAGGCCAGTAAATGTTGTTTAATATTTTTTATTATTATAAACAGAGCATTTACTTAAAGATTTGTATCTATAAAAAGAATGTATAAACATAAAAATGTCGTAAAATAATTGTCGGACTTTGTCCATTTCATAATGTGTGACGTCATTTGTTTATATTTGATACGCCATGAGCAGATATGAATGTACGTGAGAGATTCATGGAAGATTGAAGTTTAAAAGCAGTAAATTCGACCTCGCTAACCGAACGCTCCTCTGTGGTCAAATCGGTAAAGGCACGTCAAGATAAATGACGGTTCCGTATAGGATACAGGTTCGAATTATTTCTTAGGACGAATATTTTGTGTGAAAAGTTCTCGGACATTCAGGCCGGTAAATGTTGTTTAATACAGTTTATTATAAACAGAGCATTTACTTAATAATTTGTATCTATGAAAAGAATGTATAAACACAAAATATCTTAATATATATATATTTATATTTATTTTGATCTACAAGGTATCCATAAATTCTCATTAGCTTTTTCCTCCAGCGATTTGTCGAAAAAACAAACAATTGAGAACTTTTGTCTGGGGTATGCTAAAGGCGTGCGTGTACTCAACAGAAATCACAGAGGCAACACACTTCATTGATCGTATAAAAACCTAATGTGCTATAATAGACGGCAATGTGCAGTTATTGCATCAAATTCACGTGAATCTTGCAAAGCGCATCAACCATTGCATCACAAATGATGGAAATCATATTGTAGATTTTGTTTGTTCATAATCCAATTCAAGAGAATGTTTTTTGAAAAAAATATATGTTGAAAATATGCATATTTTCTTGTGTGTTCAGACTTTAGGGTCCCTCTATAGATAGAAAGAGAGAGAGAAAGAGAGAGAGAGAAAGAGAGAGAGAGAGAAAGAGAGAGATAGAGAAAGGGAGGGTGAGGAAAAAGGAAGGAAGAAAAGTACGTGTCTGTTCGTCCATCTGGTGCGTTTCTCCTGCTGTCTTTGTACTAAATGCCCAAGATGTTAATACCAAATAGGTATAGAGCATGTCTGGTATTAAAGTGGGCAACTTTCTATATTTAAAATATTTCAACACTCAGTTACCATTGTTAAACAAGGTGAAGTTGATGGTAAAGAGTTGTGTGATGTAGTAGGCCTCTCTTAAAAACGGGGTTTTTCAGAAATTTTATTTACAAAAACCTTTAGTGTTATCGAATAGTATCTTTCGGACGGGGGCTGTTGTAGATTATGGGTTGATAGATGTTTTATTACAGCTTTCCTCTGATAGGTGACATGTGCGGTGTCTACTCAAGAAGGTGGTCGTATGTCCGACATTAATAACTGATTTATGACAAGAAACACAGTCTTGTATTGGGCAATGAAAATGATACACCGTATTGGTCATCGCCAGTATAGATTTGGTGTGGTTATTTTGACTATTAACTACAAGGTTTGCAGTTTAAGATGATATCCGAAGAGATCGAAAGTACTTTGTACAAAAAAAAAAAAAACTACGGCGCCTCCATTAATGAATTTCATTTCAACATCAAGGAACTGATTAGAGAATTAGGAATGATTATTATAAAAATAAATAGACATAATATGTCCAGATTATTAAACGAAAAATGTTTGAACACACACAACACACACACACACACACACACACACACACACACATATCATATATATATATATATATATATATATATATGTATTATATGTGACTGTTATGTTTGAACATATTGTGTATGCAGAAGATATGAAAATGAAAAACAATGAGATCCAAACGATTTACCGCATAGAGATGATCATTTCGTCCATATTTTACTTAAAATAGTTTTTTTCCCTATAACTTATCCAAATTCAAATACATTTACTAAAGTAAATTTTAGTAAATGTATTTGCATTGATAAGTCCAGGGAGAAACTATTAGATCTCATTATAGGCTCTATAATAAAATTATACTGAACTCTCTTATGTGGATATATATATATATAAGCAACTTGTCAGCAGTTAATATACCGCATAACACCCTTGAGCGCTTAGCTTTGGAGCGGGTAGAATGGAGATCAACGTGTTTTAGTGGACTCAGCAATTTTCAATCTGCTTGTCTGAATCATCTTCAAGAAGCGAGAGCAAGATCTAAAATGTCAACCAATCTAACAGTGATCTCATCTCACAATCCTCACACTTGCTCCATATGTGGCCTCCTTTGTAAATCACTAGCGGGTCTTAAATGCCACTTAAGATTATCGCATAAACTTTCATAACTGAATCAATAAGCTGGCAGATCCTCATACGTCGAAACCGACGGGAGAGTCCATTATTATTATTATTATTATTATAGATATATATATATATATATATATATATGTGTGTGTGTGCGTGTGTGTGTGTGTGTGTGTGTGTGTGAAATTAGAGATATAGTGTGTGGGCAAGTGTGGCAAAGGGGTTAGAATGTTCCGATCTTGTTAGGAAGATGACTTTCTCTTGTTATTGTCTTGGAGATGCTTTCCTGTCAGCGGCACCTTTCAAAAATGCCGGAAAACTATAACACAGACTGGCAAAGGCCTTATAAATTAAGTGGAGTAGATTGATTTTTTTTTCGTGCAAAACGCGCGGAGACCAAATTTATCGCCAGCACATTGCCTTGTTCAAATTTGCTCATATCACATGATGCGCTCTCTGCCCAAAACCTTAACTACAGTTCACTCAGAATACAAATAAATGGCATAGGAGCCCTGTCGGTGATGAATAAATAAAAACGTGCCGGAGCAGGCCTCTACAAAGGGATTTGGCTAGCCACCCTAGAAGAGACAGACTCGGATACAAGCGCCCAGACATTTTACATGGAATATTATTGTTTGAGCCTTTTATATTATATTCTTACTCTATCCTGGACACTGAGTTCTACCTGGTTTCTATCCTCTTGATATATATATAAATATTAAATATATATATATATATATATATATATATATATATATATATATATATATATATATATATATATATATATATATATATATATATATATATATATATATATATATATATATATATATATATATATATATTATATATATATATTTTTGGAAAATATCTAATTTGTCAAAATTGTATAGCAAGTCAGGCTATCTTAACGTTTTATATGTTGAGTACAAGTTCAATATTTATGTCGGACAACATATATTTTCTTTGAAATTTCTCGGCCATTCAGGCCGGGAAATATTGTTAATACAGTTTATTATAAACAGAGCATTCACTTAAAGGTTTGTAAGTATAATGTATAACGAATAAATATATTAGAATAATATATATACATATTAATGATTAAAATAATTACACACATACCGAGGTTTACAGTATGTGCATTTATTAATATAGGCTGTTTAACTACATCGAGCACTGTTTTGTCTACACCATTGATTAAATCCTTGTTTTCTCACCTGCACGTGTACGTAATTGCTCACATATATGGTTGATCATTGCTCTTTATTTAGCTCATTTCTACATCTCTCCTTCTCTCCCCGTTTCTCTCCTCTCTCTCTCTCTCTCTCTCTGTATATATATATATATATATATATATATATATATATATATATATATATATATGGTGGGGTGAACTTGTGCGGGATCACTGTATTTTATGTATTAAAATAATATGACTTGTATGATAGAGAAACAGTTTGAAAGCATGAACATAAACAGCGTCCATCTTCGTTGTTATAATCATTACGTTTAACTCGTTTTATTCTCCGTCCATCTTTAGGTTTCGAAATTGTTACGGATAACCTTCTATGAATTTTAGAGTCGGCTTCTTTCTTCATTGCATGGACATAAATATCTCTAATTTTACTATTCGCACTAATCTGCCATGTCGTTTCAGGACGTAAGCGATCACGGCTCTCCACCTCCTTCTATCCCTTGCAGCTCTCAACAAGTTCCTTCCCTTTGCTTCCTCCCCCAGACCACGTTCTGTCATCCACTTGCTTAAGTCCGCCAGATACGTCACGCCTTGTTTTCCCTAGTCTTTCTTTCCCTCTAACCCAGAAACCTAACCTTAAACTTAACCCCTAACCCTAACATATTTCATATTTCTAACTTCTTTCTTTTTATATACCATGCATTTCAGGACGTAGGCGATCATGGTTCTCCATCTTTCTCTATCGATTGCAGCTCTCAACAAGTTCCTTCCCTCTTCTTCCTCCCTCAGATCACGTTCTGTCATTCCCTTGCTCAAGCTCGTCAGGTATGTCACGTGCTGCCTTCCCTTGTCTCTCTTTCCCTCTATTTGACTCGTGAGTATCAGATTCTCCAGGCCCTCCTTCCTCATTATCTGTCCCAGATATTTCAGCTGCCTCTTTCTGGTGTTACGTATAAGCCTTCTTGTTTGTAACCTCTCTAAGACCTCATCGTTGATGAAATGCTCTGTCCATGATATCCTTAGCATCCTTCTGTAGAACATCTCCGTCACCTCGAGTCCTTTTCCTTGAAGGAAATTGTCCAACATTCACTGCCGTAAAGAAGAAGAGATGCCATGTAACAGTTCAGTCTTTTGTTGTATTTTTGTATTCGCACTATTAGTTAACCGTATTGATTTTTAGGATTCATCAAACCATTGTGTTTTATTTAAATTCGGAGGCGAGGAATATAAACATCTATGTTTATTTTTGTCTTTGTGCGAGGGAATATTGCATTAATGATTTTTTTGAGAAGAACAATTATTTTTCCAGATACAAGTATTTAACCCATAGCTGGGGATAACAAATGGCTTCATACCAAACCGAAGTTTGATTGCGCATAAGTGAATCTAACACACTCGACTGGCATTCGATCTCAACTCTCGCTATATATGCTAAGGAGATGTTACAAATCACTTAATATCCATCAATCGTCGTCCTGGGTATGATGATAAACTATAACCGGCATCTAATCATCTGATCGGGAACTTTTGAGGAGCGTGCAACCATCTATTAATTACTGTTGTTCCCAGGTCCACCCTGACCCGGGGTGGTAGCACCTGTTAGGGTCCCAGCAATGGGCAAAGAGTTACTCCCACCCAATGTGGGGTCAAAACACTATGAAAGTTTAAGAATGGATTTTTATAGTAAAGAAAAGAAACAGCAATGTAAAAACCCTCTTTACAAAGTCACGTCAACCTGATGTAAAAACTGATTTCTTACAAAGAATTCTATATTCTATTCACACGAACCTATCCTAAAATCTTGCCGGCATTAAACAACTCATTAAGGTTGATTTACCGTAAAACAAAATAAGCCATCAATCAATCGTATTCATCTTTGTCTAGCTTTAGATTTTACAAGACATATTGTTTTGTGCATTAATACAATGCATTTATTTATAATTACTGATATCCAGTGAATATCATTACAGTTCATTTTTACTGGTACAGCTTACAATTTGACGATATAATTAGCAAATGCTGATATAGATTTCTTCCTACGGCCATATTTTCTTTCTCTCCCTCTCTTTAAATATTTCTCACTCTTCTGTCCTCTCTGGATTTGCTAAGTAAAATGCGCGTGACCTCATTCATTCAGCCATTTGCTTTACAAACATTTGCCTCTTAACACTTGTACAAATAAATATATTTAGATATTTTTTTTATTATTTTTTTTTCACATGCTGCCATAAGACATTTTCTTGCTAATGCGTCAACAGAAAACCTCAAAACGGAAACGGCCAACAACAAATCGTAAAAAATTATTCACTGCCATCCGTATAGATAAAAAATGGCTTCCGGCTACACCGAGGGAGGTCTAAGCATTGCTTACGTAACCAAAAACCGTTTTTTTTTTCTTCTTATAACAGATCTGCTATTAGAATTGAAACGGATGTTTTCTTTTTTTTTATCTTGTTTTTAAATTTTCTAATGTCAATGTAAATTTACACATATAGGCATACAAAGGATATTCAATGGATTGTTTCTTATATATGTGAAGATATGATGTAAAAATTTCTATAGATCAGAAAAATATTGCTT